CTATCTGTTTAACCCCAACTGAAATTTCAAATTCTTGGGGGAGAGAGAGAGAGAGAGAGAGACTATGGCTAGCTTCACGTTTGAGTGATCTGTTGCTGAACAACAAACTATCACAAAATGTAGTGACTTCAGACAATGATTTTGTTTCATCTCGTGATTTACAGGTCAGGAATTTGGGCAGGGGCTCAGATGTGTAGCTCATGCAGCAACAGCTAGTGCTGCTGAAAGATCCACTTCCAAGATGGTGCATTCACATGGCTAGTAGGTGGTTCCTGGTTGTCAGCTGGGAGCTCAGTCAGCCCATCAATGGGGAGACCTCTTTGTCCCCATGTGAGCCTCTTCATGGGCCTGCTTGACATCCTTACAGTGTAGCAGCAGAGTTCCAAGAGCAAATGTTCCAAAGGACTAAGATTGAAGCTGCAAAGCCTCTTCTGACCTAGACATTGATGTCAGATAGCATCATTTCTGCCATAACCTTTGGCCAAAAAATTCTCTAAGATCAACCCAGATTCAAGCATAGGTGAAAACAGACTTCTCTGGATGTGAAGAGTAGCACATTCACAGATGGAGGAAAGGAATAGATGGTGGCCATCTTTGAAGACTTTCTGCTGTACCCTGCTTGGGTCAGTTGCCAACCCCTGGATCAATCAAGAACACAGGCATTGGAACTCAGTATAGATTCAGCTCCTAAAAATAGTCTCTTGTCAGTTTTTGTTGTAATGATTTGCTGCCAAATGAATTTGCTGCAAATATACAAAACAAAGAAGCAACAAAAGACAACACTTAGGTTTTCAGAGATTTTTGGATTTTGGAATTGTGATAGAAGGTTGTTGATTTGTATGTTTTTTCTCATCCCAAGTTGACTTTTTCCCAAATGTTAGCTCCCTATCCTATCTACTTGGTCTCTGGTTATCTTTTTCTACTTATTTAGATTATAAGGATGAGACCAACATGGTCTCCATCACTGCTTGGAGATTCAGGGAGTAGTAGGTTGAAGCACTGGAAAAATCAGAGTTCCAGCTAGTGGATCTTTCTCCTTATGACTTTAGTTCTCATTTCTGGGTCAGCACCTGATAGTCATGATCCCAGAGGAGACCAGTGAATCATCCAGTCATGGGGTTTGGAGGTGATTCAGCAAGATCGAAGTGGTGTCAGGAGTGTTTTTGGCTTAAGTTCTTGAGGGTACTGATTACATATCCAATTATGCAAGTGGCCATGGAGGATCACATTGTGGTACACACTAATTCTCACCCAAACTAAGCATGTGAGGCAGGGCCCTCACCTGGTAGGGCATGATCTCCTGGTAGATCTCAGGCCCCTGGAGCCCAGTAAAATTGCTCCTGCCAAGATGGTTTATGTTCCTTTCTTGAGAGAATGGGAGGCTCAGAGCTATCCTCATCTACATTTATCCTCCCAATACTATCCTCTTCCTCTGAACCAAGGAATGATGATGATTCCTGTGTCATATTCTCTTGATGTGTTATCTACCTTTATGGTACGAGAGAGGACTTCTCCAGGTTGAATCAGTTCCTGATGTCCAGCATTCAATAATTAGAGACTCATTTAAATGGGATCAGACTTTGTCCCCTGTTTTTATAGGCAGAATTGTGTACTAGAACTTGAAATCATGAGTTTGGATTCAAACTCCATTTTTGCTGCTGACTTGGCCAATTCACTTTATCTTTCTAAGCTTCATTTTTGTCAGTCAGGTGGGATGATGGTGGGAAGCAAGACAGAAAAACATAGGAGAGACTTCATTAGCTTTAGTATTCTGTTATCCTTGAGAAGGCTATCTGAATTCCTTCCCTTTTATTTTCTATTCATCCAATAAATATTTATTGTATACCTACTGTGTACACTGTTGTAGTTGAAGATACACTGACTGTATCTGCTCTTAGTTCACATTCTCATGTGATAAGGCCAAAATCTTAAAAGAGGAAATGGGAGGTAGTGATAAGTGCTGCAAGGAAAATGAAGCAAGATAAGGTCCCAAGTGGTGCTAGTAGTAAAGAACTTGCCCCCCCAATGCAGGAGACATAAGAATCATATGTTCAATCCCTGGATAGGGAAGATACCCTGGAGGAGGGCATGGCAACCCATACCAGTATTCTCGCCTGGAAAATCACATGGACAGAGGAGCCTGGCAGGCTATGGTCTACAGGGTCACAAAGAGTCGGACACGACTGAAGTGACTTAGCTATAAGGGTCTAGAGAGTGAACCTGGGGTGGTGGTCGGGGTGTGGCGTAATCTTGACTTACTTGATGGTGATCAGGGAGGTGATCCTTGGAGGGAGGTGACATTTCAGAAGGAATCTGATAATCACTCGATAATATTTGTTGAACTTATGAATGAGCCAGGCAGAGTCATTTATGGTTTGATTTGAAAGAAAACATTCTAGACAGAAGAAACAGAATATATAAAGAACCTGAGTTGGGAATGAATATGGCATATCTGAAGACTAGAAAGAATCTGGTGGAGTGGAGGAACAGTGAGTAGAGGGAGAGTTCAGTGAGAAAGCCAGAGGTAACCAAGGCCTTATAGGTCAAGCTGAAGAGTTAGGTTTTATTCTGCATGCAAAGCGAAACTATTGGTGGAGTAACATAATCCAGTTTACACCTTAAAAATATCATTCTGCAATATGATGCCACTTCCAACCCACCAAAATGGCTAAAATTAAAAAGACAGACAATATCAACTGTTGAGATGTGGAGCAACTGGAACTCTCACATACTGCTGATAGGGGGAGAGATTGGTATGAATACAATAATTGGGAAACTAATTGGCTGTATCGCTAAAGTTGAACTTACATACACGCCATGACCCAGTGATTTCATTCCTAGATATACACTCAACAGATAGGCACACATATATTTGCCAAAATATATGCACACGAATGTGCATAATAGCCCCAAATGCTCTTTAAGAATAAAACAGATACATGAATGTGATATTGTCATGTAGTTGAATACTGTAGGGAACAAGTATAAACAAATTATAACAACACATAACAATGTGAGTGAATTTCACAAACTTAGTGTTGAGCAGAAGCCATGCCAAAGAGTTCAACTGTCTAGTTCCATGCACACAAACATCATAAACGGGTCCAACTAATATGAGGTGTTGGAAGTCAGGATAGTCGTTGTGCCCAGAGATCTAATGACTGGAAGGAGGTGTGTAGGGGCCTTCTGGGGTACTATCATATCCTGTTTCTTGATCTGGATACTGCTTACACACATGTGTTCAGTGACTTTCTCTAATTATCTCTTTACTCTTGTTTCCCCAGGCCAAACGGGCCTTGAGCCCAGAGAGATGAAGAGTGTGGGAGAGTCTTTATCCCTGGCCATTAGAGCATGGTCAGCTTTTCTACTTAATATCACAGTCTTCTCAGGAGTGTTGAGCAGATGAGATTCATCCACTTTACAGGCCAGGACTTTGTTGTTAAGTGATCTGGCTGAAGTCCTGTGCCCTCATGGGACCCACCATTGTTTCCATTTCTCCATGTTGCCTTTCTGATTTGGAACAACCGGTTTCTCATATTACATTTGCATTTAAGAATTTGAATTTTGAAACTAATTTAAGAAATACAATGCTTTGACTATTATCTTTATTTATAGAGTCTTGTATCTAATTATAATTTTTTAAAGCAATGTTGCTGATTAAGGGGATAAATATTATAAGCAAAAAAAAAAAAAAAAAAAGACTGGAGGCCCTTAAACTCTGGGGGAAGAAATGGTGGTTTTCATTGTCAGATTTTCTCAGCCCCATTGCATGGACATATGGAACTGTGTGTGACATTTTTACTCTAACCACAAAATTTCATGAATTTTCAGTCACTGAATAATAAAATAAATCAACATTCTAGGTGAAAAGATGGAAGCAATTTTGAGGGCAAAAATATTTCCTTGAAAATTTTTGAGAATCTAAGACTTTGACCACATTCGCTGGGACTGAGCCCTTAGAGTGAATGAGCAGGTCACTGTGTCCCCATAGGCCATAGGATGGGGAACCAGTGGCCAACAATCTGAGGTCTATTTAGTCAACAGCAGCTAAAAGCTAAACACTGTTTGTTAATAGGCAAATGAGAGAGTTCTCTTTCTGCCCGGCTGAAGAGAACAGGAAGTGTGGGGCATCAAGGGAACTAGCACTGGCTGAGTGCCTCTTGGGTGGGTGCTCCGCTATCCTGTTGTTTTTACCTAAACAAGTAGAGGCTGTTTATTCTTACACATACAAAGGACCTTATGGGTATGGAAATGGAGTTTGACTTTCTTCCTAACCATGCAAGAGATTTAAAATCAGCCCTGAATATTCATTGGAAGGACTGATGCTGAAGCTGAAACTCCAATACTTTGGCCACCTGATGTGAAGAGCTGACTCATCTGAAAAGACCCTGATGCTGGGAAAGACTGAGTGCAGGAGGAGAAGGGGACGACAGAGGATGAGACGGTTGGATGGCATCACTGACTCAATGGACATGGGTTTGGGTGGACTCAGGGAGTTGGTGATGGACAGGGAGGCCTGGCGTGCTGTGGTTTATGGGGTGGCAAAGAGTCAGACACGACTGAGGATTGAACTGAACTGAAATGAGTGATCCGGTCAGATTGATTGATTGATTGATTGATTGATTTTTCTGTGAAGAGCTCCTTTATTGCCTGAGGGACTCTGGCTCCATACTGAAGAAGGGGTTTATTGGGGTGAAGGGATTGCTGGCTTTCAATTTCAAGCTCTGGTTCTCAGTCTTCGGGTACCTGTGCACGAATCGCTGCAGCGAGGGTGCACCAGGTTAGGGCCCCACACACTTTGGCTTCCAGACCAGGTATAGATTCCAGGCCCCACAGGGTGAAGCTGTTGAAACTGGCTGTGCTCCGATCAAGCGGTTGAAGTACGGATCAAGCGGTCGAAGTCCCGTCCCGCCTCAGCGCTTCTGGGGTTTCCACCAGTTCCTGCTCCTCTTGCTAGTGGTCACCCTGCATCCCCAACACCTCTGCCTTCTCTTCTGTCATCACGTATCCCATGAAGCCGGGCAGCACCACACCACCTCCTCGCCACGTCGACTGCAGCCCTGAAACGACGCTTCCAGTGCGTCGGGACCCTGGCAGATGGCTGGGCCGAAGAAGTGCCCCGCGGAGGTGGGCGGGTTAACCTGGACCTCGCAGGGCAGAAGGTGCAGGGAGACGAGGGCAGGATCGGCCAGGGTATCAGGGCGCAGGTGGACGCGGTGCTTGTCAATGGCTTCCTCGTCGCTGCTCTCCATAGTCCGTCGCGACTCCGTAGCTTGCAGGCCATATTTATTTTTTTGAAGGATAAATGGATCTATTGTTCCCTCATTTCTGCTAGGAGTGTCGCTCCAATCCTGACTCCTGGTGGCAGGGCAAGAGTGGCAAGAGGAGAGAATGGAGCCAGGGAGAGTCGTTAGGGAGCCCCTTAGCATAGTCTGGGGACAGATTTCCCATCCAGTACACCCATGAAGCATCACCATCTCCTTCCTCCCGTCCTTTCTGCTATCATCGTCATTTACAGTGTCACTGTACATTTAAATTTCAAATGGCATTGACATTCTTAATGTCACTGCACACTTTTACTTCTCTCTGTGTTATTACCTCCACCATACACAGTTACTATTTTTGCTTTCGATATTTATATGGTCACCTTAGGTGCTTCCTCCTCATCAAGCCCTAAGAAGGAGGAGGATATTATCATTCCTAAAATATAATTTGGGCAGTCATGTCCTAGTGGGGTAGAGTAGTTTGCCCAGGGTCTTCTTTCAGACTGGAAGATCTGGAGGATGACTGCTCAGGATTCTGAGATCTCATCATCACCTCCAGTTTGAAGATGGGGATAAGGGCAAATGCTCACCATCCTCCATGATGGACATAGAGATATGAAGACTGTCCACTGGGGACATCGTCCATCATGGATCTTTGAGATGATGGGCAGAGGTAGAAAGAGAGAGAAAAGGAATTATTATAACATGGTCCCAACTTGCCTTGTGAGGGAGCTGATGGGTGAAGGAGCTGGCAGAAGGTAGCAAAAACTTGAATACCTTTATTGCATTTAAATTCTGATTTTGCAGGTGGGGAGACAAAGGTCCAGAGAAGGGAGGTAAATTATAACAATGTTGTTGCTGTTTAGTCGCTAAGTCCTGTTCGACTCTTTTGCAACCCCATGGACTGTAGCCTGCGGGCTTCCTCTGTCTGATTCTCCAGGCAAGAATACTTGAGTGGGTTACTATTTCCTCCAGGGGATCTTCCCTACCCAGTGATCGAACCTGCATCTCCTGCATTGGCATGCAGATTCTTTACCCCTAGCGCCACCAGGGAAGCCCTTATGAATGTTATCTCTTCTAATTCTTGCAGGAATCCTATGAAGGAGTTACTGCTTTTCTGTGGGTGCTGTAAGAATCCCATGGTCTGAAACAATAGGAATGTATTATCTCAAGTTCTGGAGTCCAGAAGTCCAAAATCAGGGTATTGGCAGGGTTGCTCCCCTTCTAGAGGCTTTAAATGAGGAAGGACTCTTCCTGTTTCTGATGGCTTCGGGCATTCCATGGCTTGTGGGCTGCGTAACTCCAGTCTCTGCCTTCATCTTTGTCTCTGTGCCGCAAATCTCCCTCACCCTTTCTCTTAAAGGACACTTGCCATTTGATTTATGATCTGCCTAGTTAATCCGGGATTATCTCATCCTGAGATCCTTTATATAACTGCATTTGCAAAGATCTTTTTTTTCCAAATAAGGTTTTATGTTTTGGGGCCATGATTCAACCCACTACAGTGAGATAGCATCATCATCTCCATTTTACCAGAGGGGATCCTGATGCTCAGAGAGCTTAAGAGATGTCCCCAAGGCCACATAGCTACAGATGGCCCTTTGTAATGCATCATATTTAACAGCAGAAATGATATTAATGGTCAACCCACAGATAGCACTTATGTATATTAATTCAGTTAATCCTCGGAAAAACTCCAGGAGGAGGCACGTGCTATCATAATCCCTAATTTAGAGAGGAGGAAACTAAGAAACAGAGAGGTTGGTTAATTTTCTCAGGGCCAGACAGCCAGGCACTTTGGCTCCATCTGTGCTCTCGTCCACTCAGAAACTGCCATATAGCCTCCTCTGCAGACACAAAAGGTCACCACACAAAACACTGAGATATTTTCAGGGGTGACTGGAGTCTCAAAATGCGGTTCTGAAAGATGGGTGCCTAAGATCTAGTGGGGGAGACAGACTGTGTGGTCAGTTACTTCAGTTGTGTCTGACTCTTTGTGACCTCATGGACTGACTGTAGCCCGCCAGGCTCCTCTGTCCATGGAATTCTCCAGGCAAGAATACTGGAGTGGGTAGCCATTTCCTTCTCCAGGGGATCTTCCTGACCCAGGATCGAGCCCGCGTCTCTTTCATCTCCTGTATTGGCAGGCAGATTCTTTATGACTGCACCACCTGGGAAGCCCCAGACAGACAGACTGTAGGCAAGATTACAGATCCATGGGGCTGTGCCAACCCCGGGGTACCGGGGACTCCGCTCTGGACATGGGAGGCCTCAGTTCCTGTCTCTGGGCTTTCACCTCCTGGCTAGCTGCCCCAAGGCAAACCTCCCTGCACTTTTGTCCTGAGCTTCTCTGCTGATGGCACCGTCATCCTGAGAGTCAGTCAAGCCAGCAACTGTGTGCTGTCTCTTCCTTGTTCCCCACCTCCTCCCCTTTGTGCATCAGTCACTGTCCAGCTCCCTGTGGATTCTGTTACCTTGCTTCCTAAGTCCCTGCTGTTCTATTAACAGCTGTAGCTCATCATGGGATGGGAATAGCAGCGCGTCTAAACTCTCTGGATTCCTCCATCCTTCCCCTGGCTGCCTGCAGAGTGGTCTTCCTGCAGCCCTCCCCTGGAGGGGTTGAGCATTCATTTGTTGAGCAAACCTGTGTTGGTTACCTTCTCTATGTCAGGAACCAAGGAGACAAATGTGGCCAAAGCAACCCTGTTCTCTGTCCTCATGGGACTTCCGTTTGGGTGAGGGCATCAGCTAAATAAAGTCAGGAAAGCAAATTAAACAATAAACAGTTAGGATTAAAGGTATGAAAGCTAGACAAAGAGGTGAGAAAGAATAATGCAGTGGGTGGGGGTGGAGGCTGTGTTTTATTTTAGACAGTTGATTTTTTTCTTTTTTTGGCTTTACGGCATGCAGGATCTTAGTTCCCTGACCAGGGATCGAACCCTATCCCCTGCATTGGAAGTACAGAGTCTTAACCACTGGACTGCCAGGGAAATTCCAGAAGGTGTTTTATATAGGGTTTCAGGGAGGTGCTGAGGTGAATCTGGAAGAGTCTTGTGATACCTGAGACAGGTAGTATGGGTACAGTGCTTAGTAAGGGGGCAGTAAATGTTAGTCATGGTCATTCATGGGTTACTTCACTCAGCAAACATTTTCTGAAGGCTAAGTTTTATACTGGCTTCCCTGATGGCGCAACAGGTAAAGAATCTGCCTGCTAATGCAGGAGATGTGGGTTCAATCCCTGGTCTGGGAAGATCCCCTGGAGAAGGAAATGGTAACCCACTCCAGTATTCTTCCCTGGATAATCTCATGGACAGAGGAGCCTGGCAGGCTACAGTCCATGGGATCTGAAAAGAGTTGGATACAATTTATCAACTAAAAAGCAATTGTTACACCTATGTGCTCAGACCCTGGTGGTCTCAGTCTCAAGTGGAGAATTATCTGGGCCTTCTCAAACCCACTAGCATTCTTAGTTTTGCCCTGCAGATAAGTTAAGTCAAACACATCTATAGCCAAAGTGGGAATTAATTCTGTTTTCTTCTCCAGCACTTCACAAAAGATAAGTGTCTCAGAGGCTCCGCTAATGAATTCTACTATTTTCTCCTCAGTCTTATCTTGAGTATAGATGTCTCCACATTGCCTCACTTCCAGGCTGTCTCAGAGGGTTTTGATTTTGCTATTGCCCTGGGGTGGCCTCTGGTCTCTGAATGTGAGGAGAGCCAGAGGGTCTTTTGGGGAAATTTCAGAAACAGCCTCCAGTTTTGAATAGGACCAGGCTCTTGTGCTTGCATCTCCCTAACTTACAAACACTTGGGATTCCTGAATCTCTGTCCTCAAATCACCATTTTCTGGACCATCAACTTGTTCTGGGAGCATCACTGGGGATTTTGGGACCACAGGCCCTGGAATCCTAATTAAATCAAACAAGTGAAATGAAAAAGAAAAGAGACTTGTGGATATCTTTAGGGAAAACAAAACCCAAACTCCCTGCATGAAGAGAATGACGTGGTGTTTGAACGGGAGACTAGAATTCCTATAAGATTGTGTGAGAGCTGACATTTCAGAAACCAGATCCCTCCCTCCAGCCCCCTCAGCATTGGCTTCTGCATTAAGGTGCAGCCTCTCACGACGTCACCCTAAAGGCTTATGTCGGCTAAACCGAGAATAGGACGTGGTGGTGACATTGTGCTAACAGATGAGTTCTCTTAGATCATTTCTCGTGCCTGATCCTGGGCTTCTCCTCACAGACCCTAATTCCTTCTTAATAGGCATTTGGCAAAAGTTGCTCACTTTGGGATTTGGGGAAGCTGCTCGAAAGCTATATCTTGTATACATTGACTGTGGAGTCCATTAAAGAGGTGCTAGTCCCTATGAAATGGTTTGGTGGTGGTTTAGTCACTCAGTTGTGTCCAACTCTTTGACCGCATGAACTGTGGCCCACCAGGCTCCTCTGTCCATGGGATTCTCCAGGCAAGAATACTGGAGCACATTGCCATTTCCTTCTCCAGTGAAATGGTTTAGTTCTGTTCTATACACATTTACGGAGTACCTTCTCTGACATGGTCCCCACCCATGATAGGCCCCTGATGAAAAGGGAAGATGAGGAGGTGTCTGTCGTGGTGGCCTAGCCTGGGACCGAGGATGGTGCAGGTCATCAAGATGCCTTCTGGGGAGAGATGTTGTCTATGTGGGATATATAATGCCTTCTCCCCAAATTCATGAAAACTCAGAACCTTAGAATGTGACCTTGGTTGGAAGTAGGGTCTTTGCAGACATAGTAAGATAAGGTTCAAGATGCGATCATACGAGTTAGGGTAAGCCCCAAGTCCAATAAGAGACACAGGAGGACATGCAGAGAAGGTTGTGTGATGATGGAGGCAGAGATTGGAGCAATGCAGCTACCAGCCAAGGAATGGCATTGTTTTCCAGGAGCCCCTAGAAGCTGGAAGAGATGAGGCAAGATTCTTCCTTAGAGCCTTCAGAGGGAACCC